TCGGGAACCCTCTGAAAAGTGGTTGGTGGGCATAAATCCCCCACCGAGTTTTGATGTCGACCGAGGGGTCCCGAGTTAAAATTATTCAATTTCTAAAGATTCATTCTCCGACCTTATCCTAGGCGTTTTGGTTTCCTGGTAGTTTTGGGCGTGTTGGATGTTCTAAATGGTTTCTAGGAGCTCCCCGAACCCCAAAAAAAGTCTTTTTCTGATTTGCGGGCGTTTGTGGGATTTTGCGGGCTTTTTACGGGCGTTTTGCGGGGAATTCCAGGCAGGGAAAACGCACAAAGGAACCAATTCTGCAATCTCACGAACATATAGGAGTCTTAGTAGTTTTAGGCGACTTCACAAAAAGTCCAACGATATTTGGGCAAAGCAAGTTAAAGACGAGAACTACCAGGAAATTCATGGAGAATGAATCTCCAGGTTTGCTTAAGAATATTGTTTACTTTCCCTTGGTGGTTTTAAAATGAACTTGTCACTACCTTTTTTTTCCCAGGGTCTTAACCAAATGAAAGAATTCATGCCCACTTTGGCCTAAGGCGCGCATGTGGTCGAAGCTCGAAGCGGGGCGAGCGGCGTCGGCTCGTTCGGCGCCAGGACTTTTGCCGTGGCTGGCGCTGCTGCGGCCCTTGGATCGGCTGCTCTCCTCCCCTGTGGAGGGCGTGCTGCGCGAGGGAGGGCCGCCCATCACCGAGGCGAAGAAGAACTAAATCGGTTCGGCGTCGGCCGGAAGTCCCACGCTATCCGGGCGCATGTACTATCAACTATTTCTCAAAAAGCTTGGGATCCCACGCCATACTGGGCTGTTCAAAGGTAATCCGCAAGATCCTTACCTCAGGTTACGCAAGGAACCGGTTTCCTTTGTAGTGGCTTTCCTGTCAATTTTGAACAGCCCAGCCATAGGTTGCATGTATGATCAACTACTTCTCAAGTATCCCTGGTGATTTTGGATTTGGATCATTTTCCATGAGTCCTCAAATTGGGTGTGCACACAACCTACCTGAGCAAAAGGGAAGCTAGCTCACCTTACGCTAGGGGCCATTTGCATGGGTTGCCAGCCCAAGCATCACAGAAATGTGTGATTTAGGTCAACTCCGGCTAGAGGAGCAATCGTAAATCAGATGCTATTGCATGGCACCCGAGAGACCATGGCTGTGCTTGAGACGGGCATCAGGAATCAGGGCCCTTCATGAACCTTGGCAGTCTTTGATTGAATTCAAGGATCAATCCCATTCACTTCAGAGATGTTGCCAACCTTCATGGACTCGGCCACACTTATATTTACCAGTGGACTAGCTGAGAGGCAAATGCCCTCCAGATACCAGACTGCCAATTCTCATGGATCAGCCACTCTGCTGTCACCATGGTTTAGATTGAGGTCATTGAAATATGAAGCATTGTTCAACCGGTTGACATGTGTTAAACGACTCTGGAATTGAATTCTGGTGCCAACGGTGAGGCCGTTAAGCGCAATGGATTACGTGGTGCATGCGAGAAGATGAGATAGTGGTTGATCAGAAGGTCCGGTAAACATGGGATGACCATTGGTTGGACAGCCCTGAAACAAAAAGCTGTTTTTTCAACCATATGGGGTTGATCAAAAGGTCCGTGATACATGGGATGACCAGGGAATGCGCAAAAAAAGATGACTTTCACCACTTGGGAAACGTTCCCCATGGTCTTTGGGGGCCGAACAAATGGAGTATTCATCAACTCCCCACATATAAGCTTAATATACACTCCCTTTTTCTTTGGTGGCCCCCAGCCATCCCTTTGCTTTTTTACACCTTTTGCTCACTTCGCTGAGCTTTTTAGCTTGCTCGTGCCCCGCTGAGTCGGTTCAACTCCCTTTGCTTTGTGGTTTTGTGCTCAGGTCTCGGGGCCTTTGATGTGGATGTATCACCAGAGTCTGCAGCTTAGCCGATGCGTTGGGGGGGACAGAACCATCCGGTTTTGTTCCTCTTCGGCTTTTAGATGTTTTTTCTGGGTGTGGTTTCCATTGAACCCAGGTTTTTAGATTTTGTTTCTGGGGTTAAGGGGTAGTTTCCATTGAAGCCACGAATCGTTGAACTTTTAGCAGATCGGAGGACGAGGTGCAACGGTTGAGACAATGAAGTTTGCATTTGATCTGAGGAACCACAGACGCCAGTATGAATGCTGGGCGGAGCCAACAACGACGGTGTATCCTGAATCGGAGGACGACTTCAAAAGCTTCTATGCGGACACGATGAAGCATTTTAGCAAGGATGACATCTTCGAGTGGGACCCGCGCAAGAACACCATGACAGAGCTTTGCAAGTTTCTGGGGATTGAGCCATGCCCGAAGACAGGCAAAGTACCAAGAGCTATCAACACCTGGATCTTCGAGCGGGACTTTCCGATAGCTGCACAAGCCGTCATCGTACTAAGGTTCTTCTTATACTGGGTCAACTGGAAGCTCTTTGCAGCCTTGCTTTCTGCGCTCATGCGTTGCTTCCGAAAGTCCAAATCCGAGTAA